AGAGCAGCTCTCTACAGCTTCTTTCCCAGATTCGCAAGCCAAAAGTGTTGCAGTGATTGCCCACCTTCCAGCTCTTCCCTTCCCTGGCCAACGTTCCCTTAAAATTCAGCTTGTAACTTGCCATCGTGCGGCCCCTCAGAGTCTTTCCTTACTTGTTTAGGCCCGGACCGAGCCATGATTCCAGAAATGGAATGGACGAGCCAGGCCCTGATGACAGTGGACATAGTGGACTCTGGGAACCTAGTCGAAATCACCGTTTTTGGACGGCCCAGTGTACAGAATCGGGTGAAGAGCATGCTCCTGTGCCTGGCATCGTTTCACCGAGAACATCGTGCCCGAGGTGAGGGTCTTTGAGAACCTGCATGTGGAGGAAGCCACGAGTGACTGTACTGGCCTTGCTCGGTTTCCTTCCATCCTCCCTTAACCTTCTCAGAATTTCTTGGTTTCCAGACCCCAGGGGCTGCACGAAGTTTGTTGGGAGGGGATCCCGGGGTAGGACCTTGGGAAAGTCAGCGGAGATCTGATACATTCAGGCCCATCACTGCCCAAGTCAGCCTCAGCTGGGTTACGACGCTATCGCAGATCCCAGGTTCGGAGCCTCCACCGCAGGTCTTTCTCTCCTCCCCAACTCCCAATCACGGAGTAGTTCGAAACAGCGAACCGTTTTCCCTGTCCATGGTTAGCATCAACTGCTTCTCTTCCAGCTGAGAAGATGAAACACCTTGAGAAGAACTTGAAGGCCCATGCATCAGACCCCCACTCTCCCCAGGATCCTGTTGCTTAAGACAACATAGTTACTGTCGGGAACATCTTAAGAACTTTCCAACTTTTTCTGCTAAAGTTGAAGAGAAGCAAGTATAGCATTCCTAAATCCCTGCATTCCTTTTTCCTGTGTCTTGATGGAATGTGGTTTATTTTGTTGCAAGAGTGAGCTTGAACTATTCTAATAAAGAAATGGCTATTTTGCCAATGGCATTAAGATCTTCACACACTTATAATAAAGCAAATTTATAAAAGATTGACTCTTATGTTTTGATATGAAGGGTGGGCAGAAGGCTGGCAGGTTGTAGTTTTGTAGGTTTTTGTTTTTGTTTTTTTGTTTTTGTTTTGTTTTTTTCTTCCTGAATTCCCATCATTTTGAAACTCCTAATCCTTCTATGATTTTATGGTCAGAATGAGGCCCTCACCCACAGGGGGCAGATATGCAGGGGCAGATAACCTCACAAATGGTGATCTGTTTTGTTTTTACATAATTGGCTCTCAAACTTTAAAGCTTGTAAAAAATCACCTTGGGAGCTTGTTAAAACACAATTTCCTAGGCTCATTCTCCAGAGAATTCTGATTCAGTACTGTTGGGGTGGGGCTTGTAATTTGCATTTCTGATGAGCTCACAGGTACTACCAAAGCAGCTTATCTGAGGCTCTCACTTTGCAGCTGGTAATTGACCCTCCAAAGAGCACCAGCTGTGCGTTTTCCTGGAGTGGGGTGTCCGTCTGGCACAGGATGACATTCCAACAAGCAGGCCTGGGCGGTCAGCATTCATTAATGGTAGCTTTGCGATTCACCACGGAAGAAAAGGGATCCCTGGCACCTTGGCTTGTGGATGGCGCCCCGCCTTGGAGCCGGCTGTCTCCCTTTTTCTGCAAGGCGAGGCTGCACAGGTGTCCAGCATGGGCAAGATTGTTTTTCCATTACGTGTTGTACTGAGATTACCAATCTCTGCAAAACAGCTCCTATCCTTGCTGCCCCACTTTCTGGAAGTAGAATTTTTGGGGTGAAAGGTGTCAAAAGCCCTGTGGCTTCAAGCGCAATTAGGATTGGTTTGAGACTCATGGAATTTATGCATTCCTTGGCAATAAAGTGTTCTAGCCTTTTGCAAGCGTTTTAAACTCAAGTCTCTTTAATTGTACATTTTTGATTAGAGGTGATGTTGAATGTTTTCTTTGTTTCAGTTTTACATTTTTCTGTATTAATTCCTTTCTTGACTTCTTTCAACTGGTGAAGATAAGGATTTTTATTTATCTCTATAAGCTTATGTAACAATGGTCTGTTTTTACCAGCATTTTCCACCCTCTTACATTTTTTTTTTGCATGTGAAAGATTTTTATTTTATGTAGTTAAATCAATTACTGTTTCCTATGTGTTCTCCCATATCCCCACCCTCTTAAGTTTAAGAGCTCCTAATTTTCTCCCATAGAAATTTGATTAATTCTTTCAAATTTTTCCTGGTGTGATTTTTAATGTATGTTTGTTTATTTATTTATTTATTTAGAGATGGAGTCTTGCTCTGTCATCCAGGCTGGAGTGCAGTGGTGTGATCTCAGCTCACTACAACCTCTGCCTCCCTGATTTAAGCAATTCTTCTGGCTCAGCCTCCCAAGTAGCTGGGATTACTGGCATGTGCCACCACACCTAGCTAATTTTCGTATTTTTAGTAGAGACAGGGTTTCACCATGTTGGCAAGGGTAGTCTCAAACTCCTGACCTCAGGTGATTCTCCCACCTTGGCCTCCGAAAGTGCTGGGATTAGAGGCATGAGCCACTGCACCTGGCCCTGGTGGGGTTTTTATTTTTATTTATTTTTATTTTATTTTATTTCTTTTTGAGATGGAGTCTCACATTGTCGCCCAGGCTGGAGTGCAGTGGCACAATCTCGGCTCACTGCAACCTCCATCTCCCAGGTTCAAGCAATTCTCCTGCCTCAGCCTCCAGTGTGGCAACTTCTCCTGTTCCTCCACACCAAGCAGCTGGCTTGGCTTGATGACATCTATAATTCCAGCATGATATAGAGTTTCCATTTATTGGGTGTTTAGAGAAAGAAGCAGCCATATGAATAGGTGAAACTTAAAGTGTCAGTTCCAGGAAAGATGTTCATAGATGTTTTGGATGAGTTGAAAAGGTTGTGAGGGCCGGACACGGTGGCTCAGGCCTGTATTCCCAGCACTTTGGGAGGCTGAGGCAGGTGGATCACCTGAGGTCAGGAGTTCAAGACCAGCCTGGCCAACATGGTGAAACCCCATCTCTACTAAAAATACAAAAATCAGCCAGGCGTGGTGGTGGGTGCCTGTAATTCCAGCTGCTTGGGAGGCTGAGGCAGTAAAATTGCCTAGACCCCGGAGGTGAAGATTGCAGTGGAATGCCATTGCATTTCAGCCTAGGTGACAGAGCGAGACTCTGTCTCAAAAAAAAAAAAAAAAGTAGACTTGCCCTCTTAAATGTTAAAACAGTCTACAAAGCTACTTAATTAAAATAGGAGGTAGACAGCAGAAAAAGTAGAAAAGTTACACATGAACATAGATTGGTTAACACTGAATTTGGTCAAGGACAATGAAAACAGCTTGTAGGCCGGGCGCGGTGGCTCAAGCCTGTAATCCCAGCACTTTGGGAGGCCGAGACGGGCGGATCACGAGGTCAGGAGATCGAGACCATCCTGGCTGACACGGTGAAACCCCGTCTCTACTAAAAAAATACAAAAAACTAGCCGGGCGAGGTGGCGGGCGCCTGTAGTCCCAGCTACTTGGGAGGCTGAGGCAGGAGAATGGCGTGAACCCGGGAAGCGGAGCTTGCAGTGAGCTGAGATCCGGCCACTGCATTCCAGCCTGGGTGGCAGAGCGAGACTCCGTCCAAAAAAAAAAAAAAGAAAAAGAAAACAGCTTGTAAAGGAGAGAATCCAACATTCTGGTAAGGTGGGTATTACACAGAGAAAAACAACATACACATTGAGTTTTAGTTCTGTGATGTGTCCTCATCTGAAACTGATTTTGTGTTGATTTTGAATTTAAAATGTTCTAAAGTTCTTCTAAAATTAGTCAACTATTTTAATAAAATGATTACCGGTTAAAAGTTGCTAATAAGTTTTTGTAAATTCAGCTTTATGTCGTAATTCCCTTATTGTAAGGTACATGATTATTTTAAACTCGAGTGATAATTAGTGGTGACAAAAAGTTTGTTATAGACATTCCCCTGATATTTAAAGTTAGCTTTGAACTTTTAAAAATTACTAGTGATTGGCTGGGCGTGGTGGCTCACACCTGTAATCCCAGCACTTTAGGAGGCCCAGGCGGCGGGCGGATAACCTGAGGTCAGACCAGTCTGGCCAACATAGTGAAGCCCCTTCTGTACCCAAAACGCAAAAATTAGCTGGGCGTGGTGGCGCGGGCCTGTAGTCCCATCAACTGGGGAGGCTGAGGCAGGAGAATTGTTTGAAACCGGGAGGCAGAGGTTGTGTTGAGGTGAGATGGGGCCACTGCACTCCAGCCTGGGGGACAGAGCGAGACTCCATCTCCAAAATAAAATGAAAATTATCAGTGATTCTTGGTTAAAAAAAAAAAAATCCTAATTAAATCCTAATTACAGAATTACTGCATGCTATTGTTTAATCCTAGCACCCAGCTGTTGACTTGCATTCTTCTAGATTAATTCGCAGGCTCAGGGACCTGCATCCCAGTGCCCTGACCAGAGCTGTGACCCGGGAAGCCAAAGTGTTCTCTGCTCAGGCTCCTCGCTGCGGTAGTAACTGAGGAAAGAGTAGCCGGTGCCTGTATCTTGCTGGTGTCCAAGACCTTCCTGGAAGGTGGGTGACCCAAGCAAGACCTGAAGACGGCAACAGTGCAGCCGGAGAGTGCAGCTCGGCTCTCTTCGTTTCCCCCTTCCCCGAGGTAATTTTCCCCAGCGGGGAAAGTGTTCTGTGGCAGCGTCGCCATACACGCAGGGCCTTCCAAATCCAGCTGGCCCCCAAGCGACCCGGTTTTCTCATCCCAAGTCACCTTGAGTAGAACCACAGCGGGCTTGGAGAAGTTTCCTAGTGGGCCAGAGAAGCTTCTCACCTGTTAAAGCCAGATGCGCGCAGTTAAGGAGTACAAGGGGCACAGCGGACCACAGCCAGGGAAGATTGCGACCCCGGGCGGCTGGGAGCCAGAAGCCCCACCTGTCTCGAGGTAAAGAGCGGCGCAGCGCAGAACTGGGCTGTTGGAGGAATACGCCTTTCCCTCCCCTCTACCTTCCAAAATACAGACGTCAGGGAAATGCAATTGTTTATCAGAACTCAAGTTTGTGTTGACAACCACTCAACAGAAGGTGTAAAACAAAAACAATCCACGTCAACCTCCCCCGCCACCCCGGCTTCCTGGTCTAAAGTAGCGGGGGGCTTCCACTTTGCAATTATTTATTAGAACTCAGGTTTGTGTTTGCAGCCATTCAACAGAAGGGGTAAAAAAAAACCAATCCACATCATCCACCCTTACCCCAGCTTCAGGGGCTGAAGTAGGGGGCGGCTTCTAGTTTGCAATTTTTTATTAGAACTCAAGTTTGTGTTTGCAACCATTCAACAGAAGGGGTAAAACAAAAAATCCACATCATCCTCCTCCCAACCGCAGCTTCTGGGCGAAGTACGGGCTTTCACTTTAACCCCTGACTGGCTCTGGCTCCAGGGCCCGAGATGCCTTCATAATCTGGTAACTGGGGCCCGGGTATCCTCGCTAAACCGCTGGGTCACTGCCTTGCTGGCAGCTTCGGGGGATCGCTGGGTCCCGGACTGGTTGGCAGCCTCGAGAGACTGCTGGGTCCCGGTCTCCCGCACCTCCACCGGAGAACCCTGTGTCCCGACCTCCCGGACCTCCACCGAACGCTGGGTCCCGGCCTCCCGGACTTCTGTTGAAGACAGCTGGATCTCGGCCTTCTTAGTGGCGACATCCTGGGCGAGGGCCTTTCCTGAGCCTGAAAGAAGAGCAGTGTGCGGAGGCCACAGCTGTGTCCCTATATCCTCTCCAAAAAAGGACAGTCACCCAAGCGGCCTGCGGGAGTAGGAACCAGGAATCCCAGAACGCGGGTTCACTTTGGCCTTCTGGATCCGTGGCAACCGCCCCGTCTCCCACCCACTAACCGGGGGCAGACTGGGAGGGCGAGACTGCAGCCCCAGCAGCCAGGAAACCCCAGGATCACTCCTACGGAGCCAGGGTTTGCTCCAGGTAGCCCCATTCCCAGCCCCGTACCTTTCGCCTGGAGCTGTCGGTGATAGTCAGCCAAGTTCATGATCATCTTGATTGTGTCCTCCTGGTAAGAAGGCCTCCCAAATACCAAGATCTCAGCCTCGCCGTTAGGGTCCAACCGATTCACATGAATCAAGATTTGGGACATACCCTGGACGTGCGGGATGCGTTCTCGGTCCCTGCCTGCGCGGGTAGTAGAGAGGCTGTGAGGGTTGGGTGGCTACCCGGGGTCTTGGGAGGGGAAAGTGGAAGGAGGAGACAGCCAGAGGGCATTGGCTACGGGGGAGGCTTGCCCTGGAACGCAGTGGGATGTGGGTGTGGGCGGCAGAAAGAAGCCGCATAGGGGCTGCCCCTCCTTGCTCCACTCACCGAAGATCTTTTCCACCAGCCAAACCTCAAGGCGAACTACCTTCGGATTCTTCAGGAACTCAGAGTGGAACCAGGAGAACCGCTTAGGAAGGTGACCAAGCACCTCGACTGGCATTGCTTTTGGCTGCATCAGTTGCACGAGCGTCGGAAACCGCCTGGGAGTGTCCATGCTGCGCCCGGTCCTGCAGGAGACAAGACCACCACAGCAAACCCAAAGGCCAAGCTGGAGCTAGGCGACTAGAACTGCGGTTTCGCCTGGGCCTTATTTAAAGTGCTTTTGGCCAGCCCCTCCTCTCCAACCGCGCCCTTCTCATTGGGTCCCAGGCCTCGCCTCCGCCTCCAGGAGCCCCGGCTTTTTCCGAGGCAGCGCAAGTGCACCGGTTCCTGCATTGCTCTCAGTGTCTCTTCTGTCAGGAGCAGCCCTTTCCCCAGCGCACCCGGTAGGAGGAACCGGGCTCTGGGCACCAGGAATCCGCTGGTGCCCAGCGGGAGTCTTAACCATGGACTCAAGAAGGCGTGGACAAGCCCAGTATCTCTCCCAGAGGAAGGAACTGATACTTGCAGAATGAATACTTCATACGTCCCTCACTCGCTTCTGATCCCTGGCCACTACGTTTTCTCCCTCTGGCACCAGGTTTTCAGATTATTCTGTCACTTGCCTGAGACAGCTGAGTACAGAGCAGAATAAGCGCCCGCCTTTTTGTTTTGTTTTGTTTTGCTATAGGGTCTGTGTAGTGAGATTTGCATAGTAAAAAAAAGGGGGGGATAGAAAAAAAGTTATGGGGTCTGGCTATGTTGCCCAGGTTGGCTTCGAACTCCAGGGCTGAAAAAAATCCTCCCTCTTTAGCCTCCCCAGTGGTGGGACTATAAAGCGCTTTTAATTAATGCAGCAATGAACACACCTAACCACAGATGGTTCTCGTGGTTTGGACACCAGAGGAGATTCCTTGAAAATTTTTGACATCTCTGTTCTTTTTTATTTTTAATTTTTTTAAATTGGAGACAGGATCTCTGTCACCCAGGCTAGAGGGCAGTAGTGTGATTATAGCTCACTGCAGCCTCCAACTCCTGGGCTCAAGAGATCCTCCCTCTTCAGCTGCCCCAGTAGCAGGGACTACAAGCCTCTGACACCATGCCCAGTGATGCCTCTGTTCTCTAAATAACACAATTATATTTGTCTCATCCTTCCTTTCCTTTCTCCTTTCCCTTTTCCTTTCCTTTCTTTTCCCCTTCCCTTTCTGACAAGGGTTCATTATGTTGCCCAAGCTGGTCTCAAGCAATCCTTCTGGCCTGGGCAAAATGATAAAACCCTATCGCTACAAAAAAAATACAAAAATTAGCTGGGCGAAGTTGCACACCCCTGTAGTACCAGCTACTGGGAAGGCTGAGGTGGGACAATCACCTGATCCCAGAGAGGCTGAGGCTACAGTAAGCAGTGATGGTGCCTCTGCACGCCCCGCGGGGTGACAGAGTGAGACCCTGTCTCAAAAAATAATAATAACTGAGCCAGGTGCGGCGGCTCACGCCTGTAATCCTAGCACCTTGGGAGGCTGAGGTGGGTGGATCATGAGGTCAGGAGATCGAGACCATCCTGGCTAACACGGTGAAACTCCACCTCTACTAAAACAAAACAAAAAAAAAAGTGTGAAAATAATAACTTTTAACTGTGTTGCTATAAGATAAATAATAATTTATAATTTATTTTTATTCAGTATTGAAACACTAAAGAGAACTTCAGGTTTGCCACATTAATAGACCAAATGTATATATTCAGGCCGCGCCCAGCCGGCCAAATATATTTAATATATAGGAATGATTTAGTAGTTGGGAAATTCTTACTTGCTAATTGAGACAATTAAAGTACTTTGCAAAACAACAAGAAAAAACAACCCCATTAAAAACTGGGCAAAGCCGGATGCGGTGGCTCACGCCAGCAGTTCTAGAGCAGCCTGGCCAACATGGCGAAATCCTGTCTCTACTAAAAATACAAAAATTAGCCAGGCGTGCTGACTGGCGCCTGTAGTCCCAGCTACTCCGAAAGCTGAGGCATGAGAATCGCTTGAACGTGGGAGGCAGAGGTTGCAATGAGCCTGTATTCCAGTCTGCGGGATAGAGTGAGAGTCTGTCTCCACAAAACAAAGAAACAAACAAACAAAACTGGACAAGGAACATGAAGAGATGTTACTCCAAAGAAGAAATACAGGCAGCCAACAAACACATGAAAAATGCTCAGTATCACTAATCAGAAGAGGAATGCAAATTAAAATCACACCGATATACCATTATACACCAGTCACAATGGCTTTTATTAAAAAGTCAAAAAACAAGCCGGGTGTAGTGGCTCACGCATGTAATCCCAGCAATTTGGGAGGCCAAGGCGGGCACATCACCTGAGGCCAGGAGTTCAAGACTAGCCTGGCCAACATGGTGAAACCCCATCTCTACTAAAAATACAAAAATTAGCCAGGCATGATGGCAGGGGCCTGTAATTCCAGCTACTCGCGAGGCTGAGGCAGGAGGATCGCTTGAACCCGGGAGGCGGAGGTTGCGGTGAGCCAAGATCGTACCATTGCACTCCATCCTGGGCGACAGGGCGAGACTCCCTCTCAAAAAACAAACAAACCCCCCCAAAACAAAAACAAAAACAAACAAACAAAAAAACAAAAAACAAAAAAAATGACAGGGCATGGTGGTTCACGCCTGTAATCCTAGCACTTTGGGAGGCTAGGATTTATATATCTACCACTGTCTTTCACCCTCTTCCAACCCAAGTAAGCTGGGACTTAACTACATGCATCAGACCTAGATCCTCTTAAAACAGAGATATGATTTTGTTAAATCAATATTCAATGTTTGCACTATTAGGACTTTGTAAACTATTCATAGCTGTATATACTTTACTATGATTTCTTTCCTTGACAAAGTTTTGTTTTTCTAGATATTAATAATGGATTTATTTATTTATTTTTTATGAGACAGCGTCTCACTCTGTCACCCAGGCTAGAATGCAGTAACCCATCATAGTTCACCACAGCCTCCAACTTCTGGGCTCAAGTGATCCTCCCACCTCAGCTTCCTAAGTAGCTAAGATCACCGGCATGTGCCACCACAACTAATTCATTTTAATTTTTTTTTTAGGACAGGCTAGTCTTTGTTTTTTGTTTTTTGGTTTTTTTGTTTGTTTGTTTGTTTGTTTTGAGACGGAGTCTTGCTCTGTCGACAGGCTGGAGTACGGTGGTGCGATCTCGGCTCACTGCAACCTCTACCTCCTGGGTTCAAGTGATTCTCGTGCCTCAACCTCCTGAGTAGCTGGGATTACAGGCACCTGCCACCATGCCCAGCTAATTTTTGTATTTTTAATAGAGACAGGCTTTACTATGTCTCAGTGCCTGCAACATGGCCACTGTATGTCCAGGCTGGTCTCAAACTCCTGGGCTCAAGCGATTCTCCCACCTCAGCCTCCCAAAGTGTTGGGATTACAGGCATGAGCCACAGAAACCAGCCTTATTTCTTTAGTATGTATTTTTTCCCGATCTTCAGGAATATTTATCTTGCATGCTATCTTTACTTGTGCCAGTACTGCTATTGGAATCAGTACCCTACATGTCATTTCTTACAACGGGGAGTATAACTATAGGATTAAATTTCAAATGGAGAATTGCTGAGTCAAAGGATCTGTAAATTTCCAATTGATAAGGTATTGCCAAATGGCATCCCATTGAGGTCGAACCAACCTATATACTCACCAGCCTTGTTGCTAACATTATAATGTGATAAACATTGACATTAATTTTGGGTAAAACCAATGCATATGCTTGTAAGTGTTCCTCCTTTCTAAAAAATCATTATTGAGAAATGCAAGTAGGGATGGGTGGCAAGCAGAGCCCATGCAATGGCCAGATGTTCTCTACGACACTTGCTGCAACCCAGACCTACAGCAGAAGTGACCTTTAACATTCGGTTATAAAAATTTTCTCCAGGGCCGGGTATGGTGGCTCACACCTGTAATCCCAGCACTTTGGGAGGCCGAGGCTGGAGGATTGCTTGAGGCTAGGAGTTCTAGACCAACCTGGGCAGCATAGGGAAAGCCCCATCTCTATAAAAACTAAAAAATTAGTCATGCATGGTGGCGCGTGCCTGTGGTCTCAGCTACTTGGAAGACTGAGGTGGGAGGATCGCTTGAACCAGGGAGGCCAAAGCTGCAGTGAGCTGAGATCACCACACTGTACTCAACCTGGACAACAGAGTGAGACATTGTCTCAAAAATAAATAAATAAATAAATAAATAAATAAATAAAACTTTTTCTCCAAATAATTTGTTGAAATAACTCAAGTCTTCAAAGTTTAACTTTCCAACTGTTGGTTCAAACCTGCACTGAAATTCTGGCCTTCAGTATCCTAGCAAAAAATCCCCCTTTGCAAGATGTTGAGGTGTATTGGAGAAACCGCCATTTTAAACAACAGAAATCGAGCTCAGATCGAAGTTGACAGAGGGCAAGGCAGGCATTCCTAAGGACCAAGTGGAACCCAAATGGAGAGGAAGAGGACACATTCAACATGCTGTGGAGGAGGGAGAGTGGGTTTTATCCAGGATCACATGGGATAAATGCAAGGACAGGCTCAAGTTTCCCACATGCAGCATTTCTCAATCCCATTTTCCTTGGCAAGAGTTCTTCTCGTTACTAGGCTCTTCCAATATAGACTAAGCTCTTGCCCTGGAAGGATTCTCTGTACTTTACAGATTTCCTAAGAAGGAAAAAGCCACTGTCTGTGGGGCTGGAAGGGGGCGTGACAGGACCCAGTCAGCCAAGGTCCCCCGACCCCTCCCCAGCTGGGACCTCGGGCTGCACCCAGGCTGCGCTGGGTGGGGTGGAAGCGCCCCCTAGCTGGACAGAGTCCCTCCCATACGCCCTGCACTCCGGGCCCTGTGGCCGGCTAGGCCGCCTAAGAGCGCAGAAGGACGCAGGAGCCGAGGGGCCTCCAGACCGCACGCCTAGTTCAGACCGCCCGCCAGGACCCCTAGTGCTGTTGGCCATGCCGGCCTCCCCACCCTCCGGCTCTTACGGGAGGTGATCAGGATCCTGGAGTCCTTGCCTGAATGCAAAGTAAATGTATAAAAGTAATCACAGTTTAAAAAAATCTCATAGTACTGAGGTGTACAAAGTGAAGAGAGGCCGGGCGTAGTGGCTCACGCCTGTAATCCTAGCACTTTGGGAGGCTGAGGCGGA